GAATGTTTTGATTTGGGATTCCTCTGAAGAAAACACCACTCCCAACCCAAAACTTATTCATACAATTACTTTTTACACAAAACAAACTATTAGAGATGCAAAAAGTCCAAGGTCAGAGAACACACAGCCTGCTTTCCTTCCAGTGTTTGAAAGGGAGGAACAAATATGCATAGATTTATAAAGATACTTTATAGTTCCACTTGGACTTGATTCAGGTTTGTCTCTTATTTCTCTTTCAAGCAACCGTGACCTAGCCAACATATGGAATTTTTCATATAAAAAATTACAGAAGTTCTGGGCAAACTCCAAAATTCATGAACTACCATTACCTGAAGTTACAGAAAAAAAAAATTTATTTCTTAGCAGGTTAAAACTACAGGAGACAAATTGTTTTAATATTTCTAATGAGATACTTGAGAGGACTGCATTTTTTCTTCTGGTATAATTCTTCATGAAATTCCCTGTAAGGAAGTAGAAATCCAGAAACAAAAAGCATCTTGAAATGGCATTGCTCCTCCTCACAGATAACCATAGCATCCAACATCCATTCTCACTTCTGATGGATGGAGTTTCCAGTTGGATATAGATATTGTGACCCTTTGCTACAGTAATCATATCTCTGGATGACTATAATCACAGAACAACAGGCAGGCTCCTCCACCAACAGTCCTGTATGTTGATGTTGTAGATGTTTGATAAGCCTGTCAAAGGAGAGTTTACACATCAAGTATGAATGGGGATCTGCAGTATGCCAAATGAATTAGTAGAAACCAAATAACGATGTTCACTGTAGAGTGAAAACTGAAAAGTCCCCATTCTACTAATGAAGTAGTGACCCTGTTCTAAGAACAAGCTATCCCCAGCTCAAAACTCAAAGTCTCTGTGTAGTGACTGTGAAGTGACTGTGTAGGATAGCATGGGGATGAAGATATCAGTAGTGTTTGCAAACTGCACTCCACCAAACACCAATTGATGGAACCCAGAGAGTGTTTACTTGACCCAACCTGAAACACAGCCCACCTCACTCATCTTGTCTCTTCCATGATATTTTCTTAAAAAGGAAAATGCAAACACTACCCTGAAGACATGCTGAAGTCTTTGCAAGGGGAAAAGGACCACATGGAAACCACAGCTATCTTCTTCACCCCTGGGTATCAGGGTTAGACTGAGAACAGGCTCTGCACAGAATCCAAACTATGTGAATTTGAGCAAGCACTAAAGATTGTTTTCTGTGAAGAGCTGGAGAACACCATTCTCCATTTTCCATCAAAAAGTCCATCATAAATGCTTTAGGGTGGGTGAGATGGCTCAGTGGGTCAAACAATTGCTGTACAAACCTGACAATCCTGGATTCAATGGAAAGGTGGAGGAAGAGAACTGATTCCCAAAGGTTGTCCTCAGACCAATATATATATATATATATATATATATATATATATTCTCAAATGAGAAGCTGTAGTGAAGTACCACAGAGTACACAAAGTAATGAGAGTGGTTGTGTTACAATAAACTCCCAAGCACAAACCTAGGCTGAAGCCTGCAGCTTCTCCACCTCTGAACTCAACAATCCTTTCGATAAACTCTCATTGGAAAGACAACAATGCAAAGCATATAAATTTGCCCATGCCCATCTCACCTCCTTCACCCTCAGTCCTATCTGGTGATTACTGAGAAGCATGGCTGCCAAGGAAAATTTCAGAAACACCAACAAGTAAAGGAGAAACAGAGTCAAGAACACCAAGTAGAGTCGGGTACTCGATGACACAAACTGAGCTAAACAGCTGACACCCATCATCTCAGGTCACACCCTAGGAGGGAAATGCTGTTAGTTACTTCAATTTCCCAAAAGGAAAACCAAGGCTCTAGAAATTAAAAGTCTCTCCAAATTCAGACTCAGTGTTACCAGTATTTGACACCAGTCTATACATCAGCACAAAATTCATAATCTACACATTACCCCCACTCTCCCACAAAGGACAAATGGCAATGTCCTAGGAGAAAGTAAATGGATTGCAAGATTGGAGGCATGATGTTAAGATCTGGTCCATTAGACTGATCTTTCAAACGTGGCCTAATTTACCTTTGCTAAATTTAAAAATGCCTCACCACAAAGAGCCTTTCTTTCCTCAAGCCCACATTTTCAGCTTCCTTTATACCTCGAGGTATATACTGGGAGTAAGACTCCCACAATCCACACCTGTCTAAAGTGTGGAAAGTGAACAGACACCAAGTTTCACGGCTCCTGCCCTTCCTATATCCATCGGAAAATACTGAGCAGCATCTCTGATGAAGCCCAAATATTCTTGACATGAGAACCAATACTGCCCTCCATGTTAAGAATCACTGACATCCCTGGGAAGGTGGTTTCAATGTAGGAGGACTGTACAGGATGGGCATCCTGACTCAAAAGCTCTGAACTGTTGGGGTAATGACATGGTGTACAAGGGGAAGATTCCACAACCAATCTTAGGAGGTGGGTGGCATTCAAACTCTATAAATGCTAAAGACACTGTATAAAATCACCTTTGCATGTTAGGTACATGTGATACACAATACCCTATTCAGACTTAGGCTCAGTCCCTGAGACATTTTAATGTGCAGATAGTAACATCTGGAAGTCTGCTAGCCCTGTTTCCTTCCTCCTCCTCCTCCCCTCTTATTTTCATTACCCCTAGCAAGTGGCTTGAGAAACTCTTCCAAATTGCTCATATCCATCACAAGGTTCTTCATGGACTGCCGGGGGGGGGGGGGGGGGGGGGGGGGGGGGGGGGGGGGGGGGAGAGACACTCATTAAAATAAGAATTGAGAAACTAAAACTATAGCCTGTGAACATTACCTAACTGGCTACATGTTCTTGCGCAGCCTGTAAAGGACAAATGCTTCTGAAGACTTGAAAATGCTCAGTTTAAAAAACAAAATAAACTATTTGATGGGGAATGTACTTCTTTGTATGTTTATCTTATTGATTTTTGAATAAAATACTGTTTGGCCAATGGCAAGCAAGGACTAGGAGTCAAAGAGGATTCTGGGAAATGTAGTAGAGAAGTGCTGATCCAGGCAGGAAGTGAGACTCATATTTAAGCGAAGGAGAAACAGGAAGGGCCCTCTTTTCCCCTCCGCTCCTGTTCCAGCGGCCCAGTGTGATCCACCAGCAAGGAGGGACGCCAATAAGGCGTCCAATAAGATAAGTCTTATAAAATATATAAGTTTGTGATAGTTAAGACTTAAGTAACAGATGAGAATCCTAATCATTGGCCAAGCAGCATTGAACCTAATACAAGTTTCTACACAGAAACTTGGGCCTAACTCGGGCTGGTGGCTGGCGTAAAGCACACACGTGGCAGTGGGGCTCAGGCGGCTTTTGGCAGAAAGATTTATCGCAACAAGTATTTCCTTGTAAGATGAAAATTATGAAGACCCAGGTTCAAGCACTCAAAAAAGAATTTTGTTACAGCACATCCAGTGTCACATGGAGCTGCTGTGATGCTGTGCTGGGAGGGCTGTAGCAAAGACTCTGTGTCCTGAAAAAGTCTAGAATGGTTATGATCTAGTTCCTTCCAGGTAAGTGTAAGTATAGCAATCCTAAACTGGAACTGTCAGCCTTCCGCTTGTGGCAGCACATGAACCCAGTCACACACACTCTGTGACATCTACAGAGATGACAGGGCCCATCAGAGGTAAGGATGTCAATCATGGCCCTATTCCCCCAGATGCACCATTCATGGCCCCTTGCCTAACTGAGTGATGGGAGAAGTTTTGCCTCTTCTCTGCCATTTGCAAGGGTGCCCTGTAACTTCCAATTTCCTGCCTAAGTGCATTATTATTCTAAATTGATGAACTGTAAATAACAGGCCACTTTACGTCTCTCCATGACTGATACCACAGCCACAGAGTACACAATGATAAATTTTCTTTGCATGTCTTGCTGAGAAGCTATATGTATGTAATTTCGGTCTCCATCTCCCAATTTCCTTCATTTATCAGGAAATGGTGACAAAGGGCTCTAATTAGATAATTCTAATCACAAAGAAGGAGGTGTGATGGAAGACTTCGCCATCACTGTCTCTGCACAGCAAAACAAAACAGATTTGGCCATTCTCCCTGAAGGGGCAGGAGATTTATCAGTAGACAAAAGAATGCAAAAAACGCCAACAGATAAGGGGTAATTAAAGATCAGGCCTATAAATTTTACACTGACATAAATTTAACAAGATTTGCAGGTGGAAATTCAGGATTGAAAAGCAAACCCTGATTTTGAAGAGAATTGCAGTAGTTCTATATGCAACAACAATGCATTATACATAGATTTATTATGAAGAATAATACAGCGCCTCCAAGCTCTTTCAAACAAGGAATTTGAATTATTCAGTACCACAGTAATTTCAAAATGGTCTGTCTTCTTCAAGTATTCCTCCTTAATTTGCCACAAATTTTTGAGTGTTAATGTCTCTTTTAAAAATAACAATCCACCTAGTTCATTTTTTTAGTTAGGTGAAGGGAGCATCATCCAGAATGGTCTCTATATGCAGAAAAATTATTTCTGATGTAATATGCACTAAAATTATTAGCAACGCTTTCTCAGTTCACTGAATCAAAGGTGCAAAGTAAAACTGGGTTTGGTACACAGCAGAGTAGCAATAAAGGCAACCAACAAGGCTTGGAAGTAAAGCAGCATCTCTTAGACAATGGCAGACACCCCTTTATAATGCTTAGTAGACATTAAGGGTCACCATAGCATCTTAAAGGTAACACTCTATCTCTCAAAGAAGTATAACCATGGTACAATGGCTCATTAACAAGAAAACGTCAGGGACAAACACAGGCAGAGGCGGAGGATTGGGAAAACATGGAAAGAGCAGGCTTCAAAGTTTCAACTTTTAACAAAGCAATAACTGCTTGAACAAACAGGGCTCAGGTGAAATCCTGATTCTGCCTTTTTAAAAAAAAAAAAAAAAAAAAAAAAAAACATCCAGGGCACTAAATAACTTAGCCAGACTCACCTGAGTATGCCCAGTAGGGGTCTCCGGATGCCTTGCGCCTGCGGATCTGCACAGAGCTGCCCTGTCTGCTCTCCTGCAGGGCCCCCACATAGCCTTCAGTCAATGCTGGAAGAGAGGAAAACACAAGGAGTCAGTCCTCACACTTAGCTGGACACAGGGCACAGGAAAGATGTTCAGCCACACACAGCAGAGGGAGTCACAGAAGCACAGGCCTTAGGGGCTGTCTGAATAGAGCCTGGGTTTTGCCTTCTTGTGAGGAGTTAGTGCCTGTGATCCCAACATTTGGTTGAGGCAGGAAGATTGCCTCCCTATCCTAAGCTGTCTGGACTACAAAGAGCCTGTCTCAGAAGAGGGTGAGATAGATAGATATATATATATATGCCTAAAGCAAGACATCAACATGTTTACTGTTCATATTAATAACATCTATGACCTTTTGTATTTGAATTTAGGTTGCAGTTATATTTGGCTGCTTGTTTTGAGACAGTGTCAAGCTAACCTGCAAGTGACCTTGTAGATAGGTTAGCCTCAAACTCCCATCCCAACCTCCTGCTTACCCGGATCCTCTCTGCTGGGATTACAGGTATAACCCCCAGCCGAACCTTCACTAGGTACTTGCTATTATAAACAATATATTATTTAATCAGTATAACACCAAGTGTGGACACCAAGTGATAAGAAATAAGCTTCAAGCAAGGAAATAACTTACACTTGCCTAAGGTCCAATCACCTTTTAAACCACCTGAATAAATGTGTATTTTGGGTGTAAAGAGCCTCCTGGGCACATGTGTTCTTCTCTGTGTTTGTTAGGTGTGTGTTTGGGGTAATTTCAGGTGCAGAGACACATACCAGCTCCCAGTGTCACAAAAAGAACATAGCAGAACTGAGAACCAAACAAATACACCGAAATCGGGGCCTCTGTCCCCCAAAGCAAGCACGGGCACAAGACCCCTCTCGCTGAATGCCCCACTTCCACAACCTTCACCCACCAACAGTTTCCTGCAGTAGCAAGGACAGAAAAGCACACAATCTTCCACGGCCAATGCTCAGAGGAAGTACTGCACAATGGTAACACACTTCTGAAAACTCAAAAGGAAGCCAATCCATCCACGAAAAGCAAAAGGATTCTCTATCACTATGGAGAGTTTCCATGGGCACACTCCCCCACCCCCACCCCACCTGAATCCTCTCTATCAGATGCAAATTTGCTCTAGTGATGAGCTTCCACCTGAATTCAGAGACGTATACAAGAACAGATATTACAGGTGTCCAGATTCCAAAACAATACACACCACCCACCTATATTAATATTCAAATGCACCCAAACAAAATCAAGTCTGCTTTTAGGAAGCAGAGAGAATAGTTAGGAGAAGTGTCCATTTGCTCTGAGATGAGGAATGAGGATAGCAATTCTAAACTACAGTACATTTTCTATTCCGATACGTTGCCAACGAGGGCAGGAAGACATTATTAGCTTTGATGAGAAAGTGATGGCCAATAAAAAACAGCACAACTGCAAGAACTAGTTTAAGACTTGTAACCAGGGCTGGAACACAGATGCTCCTGAGATAAACCTATAGAGGACAGTGTGAACGGAAGAAACTCCAAACATGTCAAAGGGAAACCTGCTGCTATCACTTCTATTTGTTCACTACTCCTGAATGACAAAGTAAAACATATATACATATACATATACATATACATATACATATACATATACATATACATATACATATATGTCGCTGCTCACTGTCATGTACAATGAAACTGTGGCCACTCACCATCCCACTCATCCTTCAATTCTGTAGACGAGCCACGCAGAGCACCAGTGAGTGGCAGTTCTCAACTAAGATCACAACTGCAGCATCACATGCTGCTTCCCTCACGCTGGACAGTCAGTTCATTTCTGTGCATATGTAAGTGTTTAATATGCACTTGCTTATTGTGCTTCGAACAATGCCCTGAAGCACTAGGTCTTTGTACCAGGACAATGGGTACAACACATCTTGACAATGTGAGCAATAAATGCCAAGTCTATGGGGGTTTGGAGTATTACCTCAGTTTCCTTGTCTGTAAAATAAGAGGCCTGAAAGATATTTGAGAAGACAATAGGACTTACTGCAAGCAGAGGTACCTGGCTCAGCTGCAAGTCCAACAGAACAAAATATATGCAGATTTAGTTTGACTAACTGATGCAGAAGAACTTGCAGGAAGCTAATTGTCTACATGTAACCAACGGACTGGTGGGCTGCCCACAATTTTTAGCTTGTGTTTGTTGGAAAACAAGGTCTCATGTAGTTCAAGAAGGCTTTAAACTTTTGGTGTCCTTGATGCCGTGTCCCCATTTGGGAGATTACAAGTGTGTAGTTCAACATACCCAGCTTATTGAACAACGGAGACTAAACTCGGTGCATGCTAAACCAGAGCTCTACCTCAGGGTACATTCTCCAGCCCACGTTCAGTTGACTTCTATGCCCCACCCTCCTTTCTCTAAAATGATACCTGAGCTCACTACCAGATGGTTTCTCAGAACTTATCCTGGGTGTTATTGGGTTCACAGACCATTTTTCATTTTCTTCTGCTCCAGTAAACACTACTGAATTTAAACTGAACTGTTTTAGAGGTGCTCTCCCTCAGCACCATCATAATAGGAATTTGTTCCATAGTCACTGCTTCAGTAGCAATCACAGCCCATTCTATCCATCCACAGCAAACCCAGTTGCTTTTATCCCTCCCAACACATGCTTGCCCTTCTTTAACTTAAGCCACTGAGTCTCCACACACCAGCATCCTGAAAAGTCTTGTGATGATATCAAGCACAAGGGAATCAGCCAGGCTTCTTTGCTTATGGAAGTGTTAGATATAAGCCCATAAAGATGTTGGGACATGGTCCCCAAAGCAAAGGGTGGGGTGGGGTAAGGATCAAGTATAGGGTCAGCAGAAGCTGGAGCCAAGCCAGGAGTCCAATTGTACAGATCAATTCTCTTGACAGCATTTAGCCCTGGCCAGCACCAACTATGAGCTAGCCCTGAACCTGTAGAGTTGGAGGGTTACCACCAACTAATGAGAATACAAAACACTGTCTTCTGTCACCTGTGCAAATAGTCTGTAATGACAATTCCTTTAAACAGTTACTTCAACTTACATATCCACAAAAGGTCTTCATTGTGAAAGAGTATCAATTCAGGGATAAATTTTTGTTTATTTGGGGGTTGTTTGTTTTTCAAGACAGGGTTTCTCTGCAGCTTTGGAGCCTGTCCTGGAACTCACTCTGTAGACCAGGCTAGCTTCTAACTGACAGAGATTCACCTGTCTTGCCTCCCAAGTGCTGGGATTAAAGGCATGTGCCACCACCTCCCAGCTCAGGGATAAATTTTTTAAAAGAGAAATCACAAATAAATGACATACACTTTCCTTACTGTGCTTTGAAATTCAAGTTAAATTGTTTTGGAGTAGGACCCAGATAATGTCTTTTCAAATGCCCTAGACGATTTTGCTTATGTATGATGTATATATGTGGCCTCTCCTCTCTCTCCCCCTCTCACACACACACACACACACACACACACACACACACACACACACACACACACACAGAGTCACCTTCTGCCTCCACTGCCTCACTTGTAGGACCACTGCTCACCTACCAGAAACAGCAAACACTGAAAACACAGAGCAGGGTGGGAAGAGTCTGAGAACTGAACAGGCAAGTCTTAGGGAGGCATTTCGGAAATGACCAGGAGAACAAACATTCATTCTATCACTTGGGCACCACGGTCTTTCCAACAGATGAACTGCTCAGTAAAATAACTGTATTTACTTTTCCTTTCCATTATATCAGTTATGTGTATGGTTCCTTATCCCACCCCCCAGAAAAGGATCGAATCATGTATTGATAGCGCCTGTATAAACTAAGGAGGACAATCTAAAGACCTCACTTCAAATATCTTTCAATCAAAGACAGGTGATTCTCAGTGTATTTTTTAAAAACTATCTGAATAGCAGTCAAAATGTATATACTGTATACAAAGCAACTTAATATTTTCTTGAAGGAGCAGAGGCTTGCAAATGGTAACAGTCTCCAGTTCCCAGTAATGTTACAGACTCAGCACGCCAAATTCAATCAATTTTAATACTCCGGCCTCTCCTCAGCTCCAACAGTGAGCGGCAGCAGCATGGCATGCTATGGTATGGCTATGAATCATGCTATTGATTTTCAATATCTTCTGTGCAGAAAATTAAATTATGCAAATGCATGCCTTTACGGATCCTTACCTTAATGTGAAATTGCATACTTGCTTATGTCAGCAACTTAATTACACAATTAAAAATGGAGCATACTCAGGAAAATGTGTGGTTTCACTCTTCAGAACAGACAATACGTGTAAAGCTGCCTATGGTTATCATTTGAATAACAAGGAGGAGGAGATAGTGTTACACAAACATAAACTCTAGCAAGTTCTACAACCAAGCCCCTATGGTTTATGGATATGAAGTCATTTGTCAACTGAAAGCATAGGAGGGTCTTCCACAATGTTCCAAATTGTGGAAACACTTGTATACAATACAGAAAAGCCCAGTGACATACACAGATACACACATTTCTGAAAGAGGTCAACTCTAATGTCATTTTAAGCAACATATACATATTCCCAGTTGGCTAGCAAACCTAGGCAGGAGGAATTTCAAACTGAAGCAGTTTTTGAGAGTCTTAAGTATAAAATAATCAAATGTGTTAAGGAGGGACAAATCCAGCTATTGTCATCATCCCTGTCTACCAGTCCTGACAAGATGAAAGTGGAGAGTTAAAAACCATCAGAATTAACTAGCCAATGATGCTTCCTTCTCACTCAGCAGGAGGAATCTTAAGTCAACTTGGTTGCTAGGCAGAGAGCCAAATGAGTGGCAGGCATTTTCATCAGGGAGTTTCAGACACTCTATCTCCGCTCAGAACTTCTACAGAGCCTACCTCATTTCCAGCCTAAAGCGAAAAAGATAAAAATGTTTCAGACCCAAAGGCCCAATCCCTTCCTATAAAAATATCCTATGAGTTACCTACTACTGAAGACATCAACAAAATCGTTTCCTGTGTGCATGATTTAATTT